TTTTGAGAAATCAGCTAACAGTCTGATGGGAACTCCTTTGTAGGTGACTGTCCCCTTATCTCCTGCTGCTTCTAGAATCTTTCCTTCATTTTAATCTTGGCTAATGTAATTATGATGTGCCTTAGTGTGTTCTTCCTTGGGTCCACCTTCTTTGGGAGTCTTTGAGCTTCCTGGACTTCCTAGAAGTCTATTTCCCTTGACAGATTAAGGAAGTTCTCCTTTATTATTTGTTCAAATAAGTTTTCCACTTGTTGCTGTTCCTCTTCTCCTTCTGGTACCCCTATTATTCAGATGTTGGAATGTTTAAAGATGTCCTGGAGGTTCCTAAGCCTCTCCTCATTTTCTTGAATTCTTGTTTCTTCATTCTTTTCTGATTGGTTGTTTCTTTCTTTCTTCTGGTCCACTCCATTGATTTGAATCCCAGTTTCTTTTCCATCACTATTGGTTCCCTGTGCATTTTCCTTCATTTCACTTAGTGTAACCTTCACTTTTTCATCTAATTTGTAACCAAAATCAACCAGTTCTGTGAGCATCCTGATCACCAGTGCTTTGAACTGTGCATCTGATAGGTTGGCTACCTCTTTGTTGCTTAGTTGTGGTTTTTCTGGAGCTTTGATCTGTTCTTCCATTTGGGCCATTTTGGGGGTCTTGATTCACCTGTTATGTAGTGAGGGGTGGAGCCTTAGGTGTTCACCAGGGTGGGGCAACCCAGTTGCTGGGTTGTGACACTGTATGTGTGGGCAGGGTTGGAGAGGGAACGATGACACTTGCTCTGCTCTCTCTCAGATTTTGGTCCCCTCTGACACTTCCCACAAGCAAATTGGGCCCTTCTGGTGCTGGTTCCTGAGTGGGTGATTCTAGGGTCTCTCCAATGAACTCTTCTGTAAGATGGGAGTCTCTCCTGATACCTCTACCCCCACAAATGTTTTCAATTGCTGTTTTTAGGCTTTATTTCCTGGTGCTGGGGCCCTGGGTTGTGAGGTCTGTCTTGCTTCCCATTTTTGCCTGGTTTATCTGCACGCAAATGTGTGACCATGGTCAGCCAACCACCTTGCACGTCTCACTGGGTCTGCTCATTGTTCAGAATCTGCCAGTCGATGCCCGTGCACCTGGGTCTGCCAACCACCACTTTTTCCTGCCAAGACCCCTCTTCACCATCCGCTGACTCCTCCCCTCTTACCAGTCTGGATGAATGGTTGTTGGACTTCTATACAGTTCAATTTTCTGTCAGTTCTGGGGGGATTTTTGTTTCTAAATTTTTGTTGTCTTTAATTTTGGTTCTGCAAGGAGGCACAGTGTATCCACCTACACCTCCATCTTGGCCGGAAGACCACATTTTATCATTGTTGTGGTAATAGTAACCACTGTAATTATGCAAGCATAATATACTCAAGGTATTAGACAATTGAAGGGAGCAAATAAAACTGTATTTATGTGCCAGTTATATGATTGCAGTACATAACATTCAAAACAAAACTGGGAATATATTATAAGCTTAAAATATATTTTTATTAAAAGAGATAAACACAATACAAACAATTTGTTATTAGAAAATACTGGATATGCTGTGCTTTTAATGATAATTTGACATTGTACACATAACATTTAATTTAGAATTGTAACTGATGTTTATGCTTTCTTAAAAAATTAATGCTTTTTGTCCTTGCTGGAATGGCTCAGTGGATTGGGCAACCACCTGAGAACCAAAGGGTCACTGATTAGATTCTCATTCCAGGGCATGTGCCTGGGTTGCAGGCCAGGTCCCCAGTAGGGGGCGCATGAGAGACAAACATACATTGATGTTTCTCTCCTCTTTCTCCCAGCCTTCCCCTGTGTCTAATAATGAATAAATAAAATCTAAAAAATATATTAAAAATAACATTTCTTAGACAGAGTTTTGCAAATTTATATTAAAAACCTATTTGAATCTCACCTAAAGGGGGAAGCCTGTACCAAAGGGCCCATCCTCCAGAAGATAATTCCAATTTATTTTTGCATCCCAGCATGTAGAGGAGAATGAAAAAAATAGATTACAAACATTTTCCAGAGTATGGGTTCACAAGTTCTGTTTTTAAAAACTTAAGTTTGAGACACTGAACTGTGTTACAAAAGAAGAAGTCAAAGAATGAGTTACAATGAATTGTGAGAATCATAGATGATCATTCAAAGTAGTAGATTTCATTTTGGCAGCCACCAGTCCATACACAGAATTTTAAAACACCCTTTTTATGGAGGAGAAAAGAGAGTCAAGAACTAAGTTCTGGAGTAATCTACTTTTGAGAAATGGGTCAGAGGACTAGTTATGTACAAACTTGGCATTTTGCACATGGTCAATGTTCAATAGATGTTTCTTGAATTGCATTAGTGGTTGAATTATTGCCAGGTAAGTGGGCTGCCTTGTTCAGATAGAAGGCCTTATTAGCGTGGCTGCCATTCAGGTAAGTGATGGTCGAACTCTCAACAGGATGTTACTTGTTTTGCAATTCAAAAATCAGTAACATTTTGCAGCTTTACAAGTTTTCAGTTACAATTTTGTGTGTATATTATATGCAGACCTATAATCACGAGGTAGTAAAATCACACTCATACTAGCTTAGGCCGAAGCATGGAGAGTAAATATATAGATTCAAAAACACACCATGGAGAAGGCAAGGAGGAACTCACCAAATTAGATGTTTGTATTGTATGTATTCTCCTTTGTTTCTCTACCTCTTATCTTTATCTCACTTTATTTTCTCCTTCTACAGTTGGAGTTAACCTTGTCTGGTAGGCAGCAACCATGGGTAACACTAGTTCCATACTTAGAATCTTTTAAATTCTCCTAACCTCAATTAACTTTACTATAAAGTATAGTTTACAGAAATACTATGTGCATAATGATGAGAGCTAGAACTAATTTTGAACAATTCTTGGTTTAAAGCCCATGGAAAAAATCCTTTTCTTTGCCCTTGAGGAGCTTCTTGTCTAGTAAGACTGTCATATTAAGATAAATTAGAACATTTGTTTTAGACAAAAATATATAAATAAATTTTGGATATTGCTTCTGTTATTTCTCTAACAAATATCTGACTACTTTTCATTGAGATGTTTATGATATTGACTTAAAGTAAAAAGCTTGATATTTTAAGGTTAGTTATTCTATAATTGTTATGACTATGTTGACGAAGGAAATTCCAAACCCAAAGCAAGGTTTAATGACTTTATTTCAGCCAAGGCTGAAGGCACACAAAGAAGCAAAATCTCAAAAGATTGAGAAAATGTTCCAGGAATTAGCAGTTTGGCAGTTTAGTTTATACATTAGAATCAAGAAAGGGGGTATAGGAAGATTACATGAAATCCATTAGTGGTAGATTAAGAATGCAGGAAAGAGTAAAGCAGGGAAAGATCTAGGATTAAATAAAAAAAAGAAAAATGGAAAGGTACATATTTCTTTTACGCTAGTGGATGTTAAACGTATGTTATTTCAACGCATAGTTTATAGAGGTAGGGGGATAAAAATAATAATGAGAAATGTTGGGATGGTCTTGCCTCTGTCCTGGGAGAAGACATCATTCTGACATTTTAAATACATTATCCCAGATGCCCAGAAACAATGGGCAGGGCTTGCTTAAGGAGCAGATAAATCTACCATGTAAGCCTAGGACATGACTTCATGCTATGACGTGCCCAATTATGAATTTTTATGATCAGAACATCCTGTGTAGTTACCTTAATAATTGACCTTCTCAGGCCTGCCAGGTAGCCCCCTTCTTGTTCACAAATATATTTTTGCATTCATCATCAGTTCAGCTCTAAGAATTCTGTGTCCTACAGTCCATATAATAGAAATTCTCACTCCTGAGACACAGAAAAGATATGGCTTACTGCCATGGAAATCCTACTGAGACTTTAAAATAGTTTAATATCTCCACAAAAGAAAGCATAGACAACAACATAGGTTGATTTTATCTTTAAATCATTTAATACAATATCAAATCACCTACTTTGGTGCTGTCCTTTTGTTCAGACCTAGAATGTATTCATAAGCTTTACTTTCTTTATAGCAAAATTGAGTTACATATTGAAATAAAATTAAAGCATTCTTTCCATCTGAGAGCTTGGATCCTCCTCTGCTAGTGAAAAACACCTGCTGAGAAAGTTGAGCTCCATGACAGAGCCACTTAGAGAAATAATTTATTCTGAGTGTGTGTGAATATTCCAGTGATTTCCCGTAATGACTTAGGTGGAGTAATATAAGAAAATTAAGAGTTATTTATGAGAAACTTTTAAAGTATCTTGAGGCAACCTTGAATATGTTAATTTTTTGCTGGTGGAAAATTAGGTTTACAACATACATAATATTTCCACATGCTGAGGAAGGTGTTGACTTTAAGCCAGATGATCCATCTTACGATAAAGAAGATGTAGGAATAAAAAGCAGTGAATGATGTTATAGCAGAAAGCATCCTTAAATTTTGGGTAAGAAGACTCAAATTTTTTGGCTTAGCACTGCTGTGTGACCTTGATTCCAGGCCCTGAATTAATATGTGTCTTTCTAGGAGCCTCTGAGATTCGGGAAGCCATATGGAAAATATGTGTGCATGTGTAGCATTGAACTTCTATTCCAGTTCTCACTGTCATCTTTACAACAAGAAAAGGCTTGATGAACTGAAAATCAACAACTTCTGTATACACCAAAACCCCCTGAGATTGCAGGGCATACAGCCAGTCTGAAATCTGGAGAGACAGGTGAATCTAGAGAATGACAGTCAAGAGCTACATGAGCAGAAGCTATTACAATAATAAATTGGTAAGAAAACATTCATGGTAAGATTTACACATTTCTGTAGACTGAGAGAAGACTAATTTAAAAGTGAGAAACTGTTAGGAGCCACAATCTTAGGGGAGACTACATAACCAGTTTCCCACTGTGAAGATTTCAGAAAGATTTCCTGGCAGAGGGCGGGAAAGAATGAGCATGGTGAAATATGTTCAGAATTTTCCCCACAACAAAGACCTACCTTCCAGGAAAAAAGACTTTTATGAGAGCCTTATTCCAGAAGGAGGAAGGACGTTCCTCTAGGCTTATCAACCTCCAGATCTGCTGTCTCACCTGTAGGGAAAAAATTCAGCAGAAGTCAGGACTTTAAGCGGGTAGATGGAAAAGACTGGGAATGAAGCACAGACAGAGGTCACAGCCTGACTGCAGAGATCCATGAAAACCATAAGGTTTACTCTAAAGTTATAGAATTAAAAAATGAAAAAATAAACAGAACAGAAAAGATCATAATTAGAGGGCCAGAGGAGAAATAAGAGATAAAGAGAAAAGGGAACAGAAAAAAGACTTGAAATAATAATACTTGGAAATTTTCCAAAATTAATGATAAACACTAAACCACAAATCCAGGAAATTTAGAAAACACCTAACAGAATGCTTACTGAACATAAAAGAAAGAAAAACAAACAAACAAAAAAACAGCCATGTCATATTTGAGCTGCAGAAAACCAAAGAAAAAGAAAAGTTATTGGAAGAAATTGATGAGGCAAGGAGAAGTATCTTACCTGCGGAACAAGAGTAAAAATTTCACTAGGCTTTTATGTGACAACATGCAGGCAATAAGAGATTTACATAATATATTGAACATATTGAAAAGAATAAAAAACAAAACTTACTAGAAGTCTATGTTTATTGAAATTATCCTTTAAAAGCAAATACAAAATAAGGACTTTCTTAGATAAGCTAAAATTAACTTATTTATTGCCAGCAGATGTGCAGATTGGTGCAGCCACTGTGGAAAGAAGTATGGAAGTACCTTAGAAAATTCAAAAATTGGATCTGCCTTTTGACCCAGTGATTCCCTTTCTGGGAATATATCCAAAGGAATCCAAAACACTAATTTGAAAGAACATAAGCACCCCTATGTTCATTGCAGCAGTATTTACACTGGGCAAGTGTCCACCAGTAGATGAGTGGATACAACAACTGTGGGATATTTACATAATGGAATACTACTTGGCCATAAAAAGAAGAAAGTTTTACCCTTTGTTACAGTGTGGAAGAACCTGGAGAACATGATGTTAAGTGAAATAAGTCTGTCAGAGAAAGACGAATATCATATGATTCCATTCATATGTGGGATCTAATGAACACACTGAACTAACAAGCAATATAGAGACAGACCCACAAATAGAAAGCAAGATGACAACTAAGAGGGGAGAAAGCTAGGGGATCGAGGGATTGAGGAAAAAAAAAGGATCCGTGGACATGAACAACAGTGTGGTGATTGCGAGGGGCAGGGAGGTATAAGGGGACTAAATGCTAATGAAAATAAAGACAATATAAATAAAAAATGATATAGGACTCATAAAAAAGTAAGCATCAGAGAAGGAATAAATTAAGATAAAATATTTTTATTCTTAACCTACAATATAACTACTTGTCTAAAATAAGAACATAATGATGTATTTTGTCATTATAGCAGATAGAAAAATTAAGTTCATGAAAGCAATATTGTAAGAGATAGTAGGGAAGAATTGGGAATATTGAAGAGTAAGACCTCTATATTACATGTAAGGTAGTGAAGTACTATTTGAAGGGGAACTTAGATTAGTTTAAAGTGTATATTATGAAGTCTGGAGGAACCATTAATTTTTAAGTATAATTAATATACTAATAGAGGGAATAAAATAAGAGTATATAAATTGCTCAGTTAAAATCAGAAAAGGGAGAATATGCAAGTACAAAAGAAAATAGTTATAAAAATGGTAGAATTTGATTCAACTATGTAAGTAATCACTTTACCTTTCAATGGCTTAAATACAGCAACTAAAATAGAATACTAGAATGGATTTAAAACCCAAACTATATGTTGTCTAAAAGAAGCTCACTTAAAATACAATTTTGAATCTTCTAATGTAATTTTAATGATTCAGACGAGGATAATCAATGAAACTTAAAATCACTGGTGAAATGTTGGGTTAAAATATACTTATAAGATCTCAAGGTATCACTCCACAGATTATCAGCTACCAAGAAAAAAATGTGTCTTTACAGTGGAGAGATCAAGGTGTTACTCTTGGCATTGCTATAGCAGAAAGACCTAAGATCATATGATTGCAGCTCTGATATAGTAGGAGGCACTCAACATCACCCATGCACCAGTCTTGTCAAAAATATTTGACTTAAATCAAGTCATAAACGTACTTATTACAACAAAGCATGGGTTGTTCTGCAAGGAGAAAGGCCTGGAATCTTTGAACAATCAAATGTAAAGAATAGCAGGAAACTCTAGTGCTTTTACATATGAAAAGGACGTAACCAATTTTAATTCATTAAACTTGACTAAATCCTCGATGAAATTAAATAAAGCCAAAACAGATATTTTCGCTACAACTGAGGAAATTTTGCATGTTGCTTCATGATTTTGAATTAACCCTAATTGTACTAAGTGTAATACATTATCATTGGGGAGGAAATATCTTTGTCTTAGTTGATGCCATGCTGAGGTAGTCAGGAGTGGAATGTCTTGTTGCTGGAAGCATTCATTTGGAAAGAGAACTAGAGGAAAAGGAAGCAGAAAAACAGGATGTCAATAATTGCTCAATGTTGGTGATGGGTATACAGGTGTTCATTGTACCGTTCATTCAACTTTTCTGAGCATTTGATATTTTTCAAAATAAAGAAAAAGAATTTTAAGTTGAAAGCAGACCTCTCAATTGAAGCATGTTTTTCTTTTTTACGGCTGATTTCCCATTTAAATGAATTTGACACAGGTCCAAACTAATTATCAAAGCATGAGCCTTTTGAAGGGTACCATTAATTGGAATTCGGAGCTGCAATACTAACTATTCAGAGTGAAGTGGCTATATATTATGAGCAACTTGCTTTTTTTTTACAGGGTCTGATCCATATTATTTAAAGGGTTTTTTTTTAATTGAAAACGTCAAGGTTTCATTTAATTGTATAAATTATGCCCTTCACTTTAGAAACTATAACAAAATGGATGCAAACTAAATTACAATATTGTCAGAATCAACCATTACACAGTGGGATACAGGCATCATAAAATTAGCACTTTTATCTAATCATTCTTGTATCATCTGTTAATTTCAAATAGATCTTATACACAGACTTTTTTTCCCAAAGGATCCTTACACAAACCCTTAATTCATATTGTGCTTTGTAACACTTGAAATCAAAGTTCTGAAAGAGATAATCCTCACTTCACAAAAAGAAATTGGGAGAATCATGGCTTGTTTACTTCAAATCCATGTTCACAAAGAAAATGAATACTATGCAAAATAGGTGTTATTTCCTTTAACTCTTATAACTGGGAATACTTCCAAATGATAAGTGATCTCAAATTGCCCAAAATAGCACTTATTTAGTGAAATATTGTCAGAAGATATTTCTTTTCTCTCTTCTTTTTCCATTCACACAAATATGAAATTAAATGATTTTATTATACAAAGAAATGTGTGCAGTTTTCTAAGTGTACATGATGGTAGAGGTTGATTTTTCTAATAATCTCTCAAATATTTTCCCTAATTTGCAGCCTACAAAAAAAAGTTTGTCACTTTTTTGTATCCACAATGTTAATCACTTTATTAAGTGCTCAATAAGTATGCATTATTAAAAGTGAAGTGTATAGATGGAATCATTTTCTTAATAGATAGCACCTTCTTGTTTAATGTCCTTATGAGTAAAATTTCTCAGTTGGTTCATGATTCCTTCCATCCCTCCTTCAGTAAATATGTATTGAAACCCTAATACATGTTTGATTCTATGTTCATGTCTGGATTTACAGAAATTATTAAGTCATGTTTTGTGCCCATTAGGGGATTTTAAATCTACAGTAGAAAGACATGAAAACATATTTTTAAGAAAATATTACCTTGTAATAGTGATAAAGTAATGACTTGCAATGAGTCATGAGAACAAAAAGAAGAGGAATGGTTAAAGCAGAGCGGATAGACTCCAAAACGTGTATCTTTCAATCATTAGAGGTAAATTTTTCTTGCTAAAAATACACATAGACTTTGGAGACAGTAGAGAAAATAAGGATCTAAACTAAAAGTTGTTGGGATCCATCACTTAATAACCTTCCCTTATCTCAATTAGCCTAAGTGAATTTTTTCCTATTTTTGTCAAACAGTTTATTTTTAGAAATTTCTGTTGAAAATAAATATGTTTGAAACTTCCAAGTTCCTTTAGATTTTGTATTTGCTTGAAAACTAGACACTTTTCCTATTTAATTAATCATGCCAACATTATTGTAGTGAGGTCAGGTGAAAAGCAGAGGTCTCTGCTCATAAAAATCTCTTTAGGTTCTATGAAAACATCAAGTATTCCTCTCATTATAAAGATCTATATTAGAATAAAACCATGTGAATGTAAATTTTACATGAACTAGATAGTCAAAAGAATATATTTAAAAGCTTGGGTTAAAAGGAAATTCTGTGGGCTTAAATCCCAGGAAAGTACTCCTAGTTATTACAAAACTTCAAGCATTCAAATAGAATGAATGGTGCTTATTAACGATTCTATGGGAATGAAGATGCTTAAGTTTTGCTATTGCGTCTACAATTTTTTCATGTCTTAGAGAATGAGCTTTCCATAACTTGTCAGAAGACAATTTTCACCTGTGTTTGAAAATCCATCACTACATGCCAGCTCGGGGACCTTAATTCTAGTAGTTTGAAACTGCCAGGTAACACTGACTTCTCCTAAATCTACTCTCAGCTCTTGATTATTTCAGGACCAAAATCCATGAGTCCATGCTTCCTAGTTGACATTTCTACTTGTATATCCTGCAGTCACCTAATCGTCAGTTTGAGCAAGAATTGTCACTTGCAAGAAACAGAAGCCAACTTTAGATCAGTTAGATATCCAGTAAAATTTTTGAAAGAGCTAGAGCAACAGGATTGAGGTCCAACAGCTAGGAGTAGTTATTAAAGCCGGGGTGCAGAATGATTCCTCTGCCAGCATAACTGATCACTAAACACCAGGCAATAGTTTTGCACTGACAGTTGACCTGACAGTTTCTGCCCTGCTCTGACTGCCCCTCTGTTACTAGTACTATTAATACCATAGCTACTGCTACTGTTGCTACTGCTGCTGTTGCTACTGCTGCTGTTGCCACTACTGGTAATAGTACTACACCCGAGAAATGGATGAGAGAGAGAGAGAGAGACCGGCTGATCAACCCTACTGCTGGTTATTTGTGTCATCAGCTACAGAACAAAATTCACTGGGAAAAAAAAATTATTAGAACCAAGATCACATGTCTGTTCCCTGTTCTATTTAAAGCAAGCTGAGAAAGTGTCTACTTCAATGTCCAAAGTTGACTTTATTAACATCCTGGCTCTTTTCACCTTATATTTTATTTCTCCAAGTACCATCACCTCTCAGGTGCTCACTCAAGCTATAAATTCGGAACCCATCTTTGGCTCTCTGCTTCCCCATTTTTAAACATTCCTGGTCCTGTATATCAGTCTTTTTCATATTTGTCAATTTTACCTTGTTCTTTGCATGCCCGCTGTTACTGTTAATTCAGGCCTCTTAATTTTTCATTTGGACACTGTGACAACTTATTTACCTACCTCCAGTAAGTAAGCAATTCATTCTCCACATGACAAGAATGCTCTTTCTAAAATGAAGATCTCTTACATCCACTGAAGGACTGAACAATAAATACCATCTTCCTGTAAAAATAAATAAATAAAATGAAGATCTCTCCAAGTTTCTCACATGTTCTAATGCTTTTCTTTCCCTACTGGCTTCAGTGCAGAGATGAAAGTGCCTAGAAAGTTCTATATTCAAACTATTGTTATCTGGTTCCTACCTGTCTCTTCAACTGTGTCACTAACGATGACATCACTACCATCACCATTACTACCACAGCCATATGTAAGTTCAAAGCATATGAAAGTACATACAGTTCCATTGCCTTCATGGATATAACTATAACAAAACAGTATGAAGCTAGATTTTTACTGACAAAATTAAAAATACAATAAATGACCAAATTTTAATAACAAAATTAAAAAATGTAATAAAGTAAAGTAATGCAGGTAATTATCTATGTTTTAATTCATTTCCGAGAGGAGGTTAGTGGCTGTAGAAGTCTTAAGCAATGAACTGGAAATTCCAGAAAAAAGAGTCTTGATCAGCTTTGATGGGGGATAGGCATACTATGTTTTCCATTTTATTTGTTTGTCTTACTTTTAATTAGAAATTACCAATACAATGTCAAATCATCTTTCACCTGATCTTGAAGAATATAAACTTAAAACTTTTGAATAAATAGGACTCAGTACTGAGGATGATTTTACTGTATCAAAGAACATATTAAAGGCTCGGAGTCAGAAATCCAAATTTAAGGTTTTAAGATTACCACTTTACTAGTAATCTTAGAACATTTCTAACAACTTCGACCAGAAAATTATATAACAATGCCTCTCTTAAAAATAAGATTAGGAAAACATGCAGCATAGGATTAGGTTAATAGAAGCTCAGCAAATTGCTACTGATCCTGTTTTCTCTGTATCCAGTCATTAAATTTTAATATGAATATAATTTTGATACTAATAATAATAGTCATCAATATGACTGAGAATGTCCTATGTGCCTTTAATCTAAGAGCTTTCTGCATATAATCTAATTTAATCCTTACAAAAGCCCTCGAAAGGCTGAATCAAAGAATGGACTAATTATAAAGAATTTTTAAAAGTATGTTGCACATTTATGTTATTGTTTCATATGTAGTCACAAAATTATGAACTGATTTTGGAAAACTAAATATGATCAGTAAAGTCAATGTTCAGTTTGCACAGAAGTCTATCCCCAGTCGAAACATGATGGAAACCCTTTGCATTTTTAAGGTGTGGTTCTCATTTAGTGATGTGATATTAAAGGGCAAGAGGTTTTCTCTTACCCTGAATCTAGGTTAAAAGAGACAAATCCTTTTGCATTCTAATTTTACAGATGAGCAGGCTTATTCTCTTAGTCTCTTTCAATGAATGAGGTCTGGAAGATCCTAGCTTTATGTAAGTAATCTCAGTTTCAAATTCACCCATTGTTCAGAATTAAGAACCAAGATTCTTTTTTTTTAATAATTTTATTTATTTTTAGAGAGAGATGAAGGGAGGCAGAAAGATAAAAAGAAAAACATCAATGTTTCATTGAACAGTTGCCTTGCATGCCCCCAGCTAGGGACCTGGCCCACAACCCAGGCATGTGCCCTGACTGAGAATGGAACCTGCATCCTTTTCGTTTACAAGATGAAACCCAACTCACTGAGCTACACCAGCCAGAGCAAGAACCGAGGATCTTGCAAAAAGGATTCAACAACCTCAGCTTGATATGATTTTCCAAGTTTTTTTCCTTTCTTTTCTCTGTTGTCTATTTCCCCCTTTGGTCATTTAGAGTTTTTCTTTACTTTTTTGTGAGGACAGCAATACAATAAAAAGATATGTGTTTTTTTTCCTACTATTTATAGTTAAGATACCTGGTCTGGACTATTGCTGGTAACAGAAGACAATATTAGTTTTTCTTTTAAAATAGATTGTACTGAGAGCAGGACAGAAAAACAGGGAATTAGTGAGAATAAAACCAGAATTATCATAACTTCTTTGCAATGTGCTTATTTGCTTTATTAAATATATCACTTATTTATAGATTTATTTTTAACATTTTAAAAGCTATTTCACTGAAATGTAGTAGACATTAAGACATAGGGGGAAAGTGGGAAGGAACAACTATAAAGGGCACATGGACAAACCCAAGGGGGGTGGGATTAAAGGAGGGAGGTGGGGATGGCTGGGGTGAGGGGAGTGATGGGGAGAAAATGCAAACAACTGTATTTGAACAACAATAAAATAATTTTTAAAAATTTTTAAATTTAAAATAACAAAGACATACAATACATAAATTAAATTTACAGTTCCTAATTAAATAAACTCATCCATGAAAATAGCACCCCATCAGTAAAAACTACCAAAGTCCCAGGCCACTTAGAACTTTTAAGAATTCTATTGAATCCCCATTCCATGCAATGTTATTGTCAATATGCGCTTAGACTTACAAGATATATATGCCTTCTGTCGGTTAGTCTTCATTAAATCCTATGTCACCGACTTTCATCTGCAATATTTTCCTGTTGTCTAAAAGAGCACCCTTTTGTATTTCTCTGTGTGAACCTAAAACTGCTCTAAAAATGTCTTAATATAAGAGTAAGAAATTAAAAAGTTGATTAGGGGAGTACATGAAATAGACATCTACTTACTTCATTGACTTAATTTAAAATTAGCCCATGAAGAAAGCATTTTCATGAGGCCATCTCCCCAAGGCAGATTGTGGAGAATTTCTTTTTTGGGGTTGGTCAGTTCCTTAGGAAAAAGGTTTTTCCATGTGCTGTCTAGGAGAGTGGAAATCCAATGGGTGGACTTGCATTGAGCTGCTTCTTATCTGGGAGCAGAAATGTGAATAAGGAGTAAAGTAATTAATCATTTCTTTGCAAACTTTCACCAATTCATAGTGCTGGATATTGAGAAGTCCATGAGTACTTATCACTCAGTTTCTCCAAAAAAAATATTTTTGTCTCTCTGTGAACCGGAGAAAAAGAGGAAAAAAACAAGAGACAGGATGATTCCTGAATAAAACAAAGATCTCCTGACCCACATCTGATGATCATTTATCAGTTTTACTATAATCTTCTCCTTACAGTTCTAACTCCTTATAAACTTTCTAACATCTCATAAATAAGATTCTGCTGTTTAAATATCTTCTTTCTGCTTGTACCACCTGCTTAGCCTCAAAACAATTCTGAAAAATATTGCCTGAATCCTTCCCTCAAACATTTTTTCCTTCATTGGTCTCTTTCTGTCTTTCAATTTTCTTTTGGTCTTCTTTTCTAAAACTGGTGGCAGATAGATTCCATGACAAATGCCACTTGCAATAAACTGTAATGGCTGTTTAACCACTGTGCAGAGAGGGGTTTTAAGGCCAAGTTCAGCTTCACAGAGAAGAGTTCTGGAGTTAATTAGTCGTGTTTGCGGTGGTCTACAGAATGGAGAATCTGGGGCAAATGTTGTGTTTGCTGATACTAATATAAACTTTTCACTCCAGAATATAAATACTTCTCAGTTTAACCTTCCCTGTTTCTTTCCCCCCATTTATGACACTGACTTATTTATTTAACTAACAACAACCTTCTTTATCACAAAGTGGAAGCACAGGATATTACCTCATGTACAATGCAATTGCATGGTATATGCATTGGGCACAATACTTCACTATGGACTCCATAGGATACTGTGAAAATCAAATGAGATAACATGTATAAGAATGACATGAAAGTTACCATCTTGGAATATTATCACATGCTTTTTAAAGTAAATATATGTTATAAATTTTATTTTTCTCTAAGCTGTACCTAGAACAAAGCTTTGCATATAATAAAAGTACAACAAATGTTTATTTAAATGGAAATGTCCCACTCACTTTCTCTGTAAAACTCTTTCCTGATTAATTTGATATGGACTTTCAGTGTGTGTGTTGGAGGGTGAGGGGGTGGATGTTGTGTATGTGTGTTTGTGTTGTGTGGGTATGGGTATGTTGTGTGTCCATGCTGTGTGTGTGTGAAGCAGTGGAGGGCTATACCTTCACTAGGCCAAAATCAGTAAATTGTCGCTTTGAAAACTCACATATAATTGATAATGGTTTTGGAATTTCTCTTCTCTAATATAACTCGGGAGAAAAGAATTGTGTCTCTTCCCATGTAACAAATTATTCAATAAAATGTCCTGCACTACAGACATGAGACAAATAATAATTAATGTCGATGAATTATCCTGATGAAATACTCCTTAAATATCATTCTGTATGTCTATAAAATATGACTTTTTCTAAAGTTAAAAGTAAAGGTTGCTGGCGCATTAATCCCCCCACATTTTTTTTCATTTTGGGCTGAAATGGTTTTCAGGACCATTGGCCTGTTTGGCAGGGTCCCACTTTATTATTTGCAAGCTTCTATACCTGGATCCATTGTGAAGCCAGGCTCCTTCCACCAAGTTAATAGCGTTTCTACCAGCACGTTCACACTGACCTTAGGGCTCATGATACAGTATTAAAATGATAAAATAATTTCTCACTCACTGTTTCATTGGACAGCATAAAATCACGTGCATAGTTAAATTAAATATGACTATATTCCATGATTCTCCCCAGCTCAGATCTGCTCCACTTCCTGTATTTTCAAATGACTCCTAATGAATCCCACTTTACTCATACATTCAAGCAAGAAGGCTTCCAATCATCCTCATTTCTTGCTCTTCCGTGACTAGCGTATGCAGTCATGTACTAAGAGTGCTCAACGTTACCTCCTCTGTGCCTGTGACTACGTTTGCTTCAACTCCACTGTCACTGACTTGATTCAGGACATCATTATGACATTAGGAGACAACAATCATAACTTATTAATTGCTATTTCCCCTCCTTTCTCCTGTTCATTGTTCAATACTATCTATTAATTCCTCTGAAGTTTCAAGGCAGTTTTTAAGGAAACACAGTCTGCATAAGTTACTTGTTTGGATGGAAAAAGTTGAAAAACAAAACTGAACTTTAATGCTCTTTCTGTCCAAATCCGTCAGTCCCCATTATTCCCAAGTATCCTATTCTGTTCTGATCCACACTTTCATGCATTATCTGACAAGTTTTCATATGCCTCTGTTTTCTTATCAGAAAGAGGATAATAATAACCTCTACAACATAATATAACTGAACAAAAACAGAGGTTCACCACAAAAGCCAAACCTCATGAGGAAGTTGCTGGTGCAAAAGGAAAGAGGTTTTATTTCAGGTGCCATGTGGCCAGGGAGAATGGCAGACTCCCATCTGGAAGACCGTCTCCTCTTTCTGCCTTGGAAAACGTCTAACCATCCTCAGCAAGGCCAAGAGAAAAGCCAGTATCCAAAGTTCCTGCTTCATGGTAGGAAGTCCCTATCAAGGTAGTTTAGCTTGTTTCCTGCTGCTGGTCATTTCAGGCTCCATCCTGGATCCTGTGTGTGGAGCCCCACGGCCACGGGCCACGTGTCTGCCCGCACCACATGAACACACCGTCAAGTGCATCACTATGTGGGAAAGAGACAGAAGGAGAGATTTCCCTCCTAGAGGCCCTGGACCATGCTGCTAAGGCCACATAGCCATAAAAATAACAGGTGAACGCATCATGTGAGTGCAGGTCGCAAGCAAGAAAAGCTTCTTTATTTCCCTGGAATTGTATTAGCTTGGGTGTGAAACAGACCAAGTGCTGTCTCAAAATGATCATCAACTCCCCAAACTTTTGCATGATTTGGGTGTGTCCACCACTCAAACAACCCATTCTTTCCCCAGACTTGACGGGCACGCCTCTTTGTCTAGCACCCCGCCCCCCACTCCACGCCATTCTGACTTCAATGACACATATGCCTGCCTTGCCCTGGGCCTACACCAATCTTTTGCTGGAAGGGAGAAAAACAGCTTTTTTCTCTATCCAATTATTTTGCTAGTTTTTCACATGCTTGGGCCCTATCCATTGATATTTCTAGCTTTCCACACAATCAGTGTAAGAACCTCCCCCTGCTGCCATCCTGGCCAATGAGGAGACTCCAGCATTCCAAAGAGACTCTATTGGTAACAGTATGGCCACATTAGGTTACCATAGAACAATATATAGCACAGAAAGTCTGACTGTTATAAATAATAATAATAATATAGTTATTATTGTAGTAATAATAATATAGTTATTGTTGCTAGCTATTATTAATAATACCAATAAATAATAGTATAGTTATTATTTTTAAACATTTGTTCTCAAATGTATCTTCTTACTAAAAAATTTTCCAGCTGGGCCGAGCAGCAGACCCAGTTTCCCCAGACTGTCCTGGTTTCCACAGACTGTCCCAGTTTTAGCTCTAAAAGTCCTGCCTCCAAGGAAGTCTCACCTCCCAGGCAAACCAGAACAGTGACCCTCCTGCCAGTACCCCGAACAGAAGACCATTTCCAGCCTTGGACTCCATTCACACTGTATTTATGCTTCATTTTATAATAGTTTATATACTTTTTGTGTTGCAAAAGATTTGTCTGTTCTCCCAAGTTCCAATTACTAATTGATGTTGTTGTACCCTCAATTCTTAAAGCAGTACCCCAATTTTAGGGAAAATATAACTAAGTAAACTCCACAGAAGAATTCAAATTCCAAATTATGAGATATTGGCTTGGAAAAATAGATAGTGGTCAAATCAATACTTACTTTAAAGAGAGGACTTTGGCAAATAACTTGTTGATGGAATAAAGGAAGTAGGAAATTACATGGGTACATGTTCCTTCTGTTGATATAGAAAAGTACAACAGGGTGGACGTAGGGCCAGTGTGGCTGTTCTCTGAAACTTGAACTCTGTGCTCCAATGTGTTAAACTATTTCTAGACATATGAGCCATACATAGATTCTTCTTCCTTTCCTCTGTAGCATATATTAGTTTAATTTTTGTCTTTACTGTGAAGAACCTGTCCACCATAACTGTATATGATCTTTCTAAATTGTCAGATGCTTTTCTATTATTGATGATATAAATTTCTTAGTTCTGTGGTTGAAAACATTACTTGGAGAAAAAATATTATATATATATATCCTAGATGTTATATATGTTTGTAGAAAATATTATAAAAGATTAATCTATAAAACTCAAGCCACCAAACTTTGTAATATTAACAAAACACAGTTATACAGACACTGGAGTGGGGTACAGCAGTCATGTTTTCCTGTCAAATGAAGGTGGAGCAAATTTTCTACACCTTTCACTGCAGGCAGGAAAGCACAGTAGTCTACACAGTGGGTTCTGGAGATATCCCTGACATGAATGTACATTTGAAGACTTACAAGCTATGTACATAACCTTCAAAAATTTATCTGTAATCTCTATGGCTCCATTTACTCAGCCATGAAATAGAAATAACAAATAACTATCTGCGTTTCTGTTAATTAAATAAGGTATCACTGATTAAGCACCTAATACCATAAACAACACATCGCATTTTCTTGATCAATTCCAGTAGTTAATATTGTTATCATTTTATTTGAATTTGTATTTCTAATGGCTGCATAGGTGTAGAGAACTAAAAGGTCACAAAATGTGCACTATGTTTCAGAAATCTAAATCATTAAATGCATGAATAGGTATTGTCAGATCTAAAATTAATAACAAATTTTAATTCTGACTAAACTGTTGTTTTAAATTTTATTCATCAGAATGCATTAGATACTTGGAATTAATGGAGACAGAAAATGTTAGAGTCAAAAGATGTCTAAAGGCATACAAACTTATTTTTTAATTTATTTTATTGTTGTTCAAATACAGTTGTCTGCATTTACCCCCCCGCCACTTCCTCCCACTCCAGCCACCCCCACCAAACTTAGTTTGATTTTGCTTTTGAACTTGTTTCATCCCAAAACAATTTGATGTTTTAAATTTTTATTCATTAGGATGAATAAAAATAACAATTATGATTGTGATAACATGGATTATGTTGTATATTAAAAGGGCATTTTTACATGTAGTGGATTTAGGGCTCTAGCAAGTACCACCTTTACTTTCTCTGATACATTTTGCAAATGATTGAAAGATATACACATAAATGATATAAATCAAGAGCAACATGAAACTCTCCCGATAGAAGGTGAATTGGTGCACATAGCTTTTGTGTACAGCTACCAAGCGCTTTCTAATATTACGTTGCAGAGCTCACTGTTCCACCAGACTTCGGGCCTCACCCTCACGGGGTCAAAGCTCATCACTGTGTGCTTATCATGTGACACAAAAGGTGGATCACACTGTCTCCTCAGCACCCACAGGGCACTGAGTTGGTAATTCACTGCTCTCCCCTTAATAGGAGGTAACGAGAAAGTATAGAAAAGATGAAGGTGTCTCATCCAAGGTCTTCCCTCTCGAAGCAGAATAGAAATTCCCTCTCCTTAAGTAGATACGATTAGTGGGAATGAGTGTTTGTCTTACTGGTATTTTTTGTATATTAGTTGATACAGAAAAGGATGGTTTCAGTAATAATAATGTTACATGATTAAAGGCAGTTTCTGACCTTACAGTAATTGTCATGCCATCCTACTTTTGAGACAAAATAAGTTTACATAAATAATCTGAGGCTCCTATAATACAGAGACTCTGTGCTTACCATAACCTTATGAGAGTGCACACATCTTTCAACTGGTTCAAAAACTAATAGATCTTTAGAGAGCCCATAATCATGTTTTGCTCTCAGAG